CGAGAACCGAGGAAGAAAGCTAAGAGGAAAATGCGTGTTTTAAGTTATTATAACATTATTTTAAAGTTACAATCAATAAAACTTTATTGATTTAGTTAAGATACCCATTCTTAAGGGTTATGTGAAATAAAGCAGAAGTGACTTTTGCAACCACTCGGTTCATTCTTCCGTTGATGTGGATGACTCTTCATTATCTTAGAAGAGTAATTTATGAAGCAATGAATCGTACGAATTTGTACTTAGTACTTAATTCGTTCGATTTATTACTGGTTATGAAATGAATCGTAATGATTATGACTCTTCTATTTTTGCTTCAGTTTAAAAGTAGATAATTTCTTCCGAATTTTTGTTATCAAACACAATTTTATTAAAAGGTTACGATTAAAGAAAAAAATATCGTGACTAAACGAATATAAAGTGAAGAAAATGTTCATTTTTTTGAAGAAGATTCTTAGAGATAAATCTACGGAAAATTACTTATATATTTAACAATTTTTTAGTTATTTTTTCAAAATATATTAGGCTAATAACGAATGAATTACAGTTCATTAGCGAAAATGCATGCAACGGATGATACAAATAGTTTATGTAACCAGAGAGAATAATTCTGATAGAAGATATTTAGTGAAACGAATGTCCAATTTGTCATATAAATGAACTAAATTCTCAATTTCTGCTGTATAAATGCCTATTCTAGAGATTCTTTTATTATCTAGATAGGCTATATTTAAGAAGGAAACTGTACAGTACTTAAACATTTTAAGAAAAGATATCTCATAAATGTATGTATTTAAAACTGTTTGTAAACTGTAAATAATTAATATGCAAAACAAACAAAGAATTGGAAACTGAATAAAAATTTTTAATTTACAAAATATAGCAAAAATAAATATTAAATATAATGGTTCGGCATTTAATAAAATTAAAATAACGTTGTGAATAGTTTCTGGAATAAAATAAAACTTTAGCTTTATATATAAAGCTGCTATATATAAATACTTGTAAAAAGACAATTTAAAAATCATACGAAGAGATCGAATCTATAATCGAACCTTTTTTCTAATTATAAGAACGAAAACAAAATTATCCATGAAAGCCTTGTTAAATTTTCTAATTCCAAGCAAATTATTTCCGTTTCTGCTTTGTTAATTTATTATAACGTAGACAAACATTAAAAAAAACTTAGTTGATAAAATTTTATAAACATTTTCTAAAATTTTTACTAAGAACTCGTCTCCTATGAATTGTTAATACGTTGTAAACACTGCATTTCTTGATCAAAGCTACTCCATTAGGACTTATAACAAGAAATCAACCACCTTGAGAAATACTGATGAAATGCTTGAAGGCATTTGCTACAATTCTGATTTTACCTCCATTCTTACTCTGTCCATAATCAGATTAGATGCTTAATTCGTTTCCAACCGTGTCCTGGAAACATTGTTGAATGCTATTAAGTTATCTGGATTTAGCTGTAGCCAGTTTTCTCTTTTCTTCTCGCACGAAAATTTCCAACGATAATTTCCAATTGGCTGAATGGAAAAATAATTTAATTTTTTTAAATAAATGGTTTAACTATTTCCACCACTTTTATTGCTAGCTCGATCGAGATACGGATATATCTCTCTATACAGATATAAAGAAAGAAGAATTTATAATAAATAAACACAAGAAGGAAATAATAAATAAACACAGAGAAGGGAGTGTGTGTGTGTACGAGAGAGAAGAGAGGAAAAAATCCGAATAGAAGAGATTGAGAAATGTGAATCACAGATAAACAGTGAAAGAAGAAAAGTACTAAGAAGAGAAAATTGTCTTATTTGGTAAAGTAGAAGTGAAAATGTTACATAATAGAAGAGAATAGGAAAAGAAACGTTTTTTTAAAAAAGAAGAAGAAAAGTAAAAACTGCTACGGGACTCGAAAAATGAAATGAAAATGTTTGGAAAAAAAGGAAAAAGAAGCATGAAAAATCCTTCAGAAAAATGTTAAAATTATAACTTAAATGAAAATAACGCTTCGAAATGGTGCTAAAAACAAGTAAAAAAACAACAGATCAGAAAACGATTAAATGTTCTTTGATTGAAACTATACTTTTCTTACTATTTATTAATTTAACAACAAAAAAATGTTGAATGGCATATTCGTCTAAGCTATTATAAGCCTATATTCGATTTTATTTTTATTCAAGCAATGCTTTCACTTCTTATAGGCCTATCCGAACTAGTACATCTTTATTGGATTAAGCAATTGGTTACACTAATGGAATCTTAGTGTCATAACTTTCAAAACAAATTACTATTACTTTAATAGCGCTTGATTCTCGTTCTTTTGAATCTTCTATGTCACTTATCTTTTGTTAATGTTTTAAAAATATAATTAATTCAGTAAGTTTTTAATTGTGAGCCTCGAAGCGTTTTGTTTTCGATCTTTAAAATTCTCTTACATGAATTAATGATGAGGTTGATCAAAGTCATGAAAAAGCATTGGTAGGTGTCATATGTCTAACGAACCCGTCTTCCTAAACAAACATAGCTCATGCTGTTACCATGGTAACCACAAACAACTTACATCTTTTCCCCTTACAACAACAACATGAACAAAGCCAGGACTCGTGTTACGTTTTCCGATCGAGTCGCCATCAAGGCCAAATTTGCCTTCTTAATAAGCCAAAGTGTTTAGATTTCAAATAAATCTTTGTAACTTACAGCTTTGGATCCGTAACTTAAAATATAAATCTTTACAAACTTTCGCGTTTGGTAACAACTAATTTATATATATATTAAATATTTTAAAATATTTACATACTAATTGAACAATTGAGCATGTTACTAACAACAGGCCTATAACAGCCAGAGCTACCTTAACATATAAACCACATATTCGTAAAAAAAGAAACAAAAACGTGTCAAACAGGTAGTGTATACATTAAATTTACATTTATAGATGTTATTTGTTTAATAAAAGTATCTTTACACGATAATTATAAGAAAAACCACTTAGTAGAAGGCCTAAAATTAGTATATACAATATCTCGAACCAGCTCGTTATAATTGCCACTCCCTTTAAGTAAACTTGTACTGTATAAAACTAGAAATTTGTTTTACTTTATCTAGCTTATTTAATACAGTTCTTAAAATCAGGAGCTACTGAAAGTTACTGTTTAAGAGAGGAGATTGTCCCAAGAGGACATCATCATTTTGGATTAGACTGTATTTATCAGTTGCAGCTATAGCATTGTAGTTTTGATATGATTGTCTACACACTCCTGCTGAGCGGGGAGATAACAGGAGTGATATAAAGGTCCTGACGGAAATTTGTTGATTTAACACTCGTCAGTACGCTAGCTGATTCAACATAATGAAAATTCTGTTTCTATTATATTGTATAATGAGTTTGTGTTAAAAAGCAAACTGTGTTATGCAATTAAAATTGTCTTCTAACAAGGAAAATCGGCTGAGTCTTATCTTTAATATAATTTATATTCTTGTAAAGATTGCCTTGGTCATCTATGAATAGGATAAGCCTTTTAGTAGCTATTAGTCATTTCATTAATTAAAAAATAATAATCTTACTGAGTCAAAGAATTCCTTCTTCAGATATAGGAGCATCATAAGAGAATTAGGCCTAAACTAATTATGATTTATGGTAATTGTTCTTAGCAATAAATTAAGAGCTAAGAGTTCTAGAAATAGCTACAAACAGATCTTTCCTAAGTTAATAAATGTTAATCTTATACACAAAATTAACTTAATATTCTATAACATGTTACTGGGGCTTCTTATAAAGTAGGCCTGCACAGGTATGCACAATATAGCCTTGTTGGATTAACAGTTAATGCTTTAAGCTAAGATACGTTATTGACAAATAAATAAGTATTTTATGATAATAAAAATTAAAAAATTACAATTATAAAATTCATTTAAGATAATTGTTAACTATAAATTACTGCACGATAAAGTAAAGCTGTCTCTTCCTAAGTTTTTAATGAATATATTTTGAAATTTTTTTACTAATTACAGAGAAAATATATGAAATTATCACTATAAAGTATCGATTAAAATTTATATCACGTGTAGATAAATATAATATCGGTAAATTTAAAAGGAAAGGATTATTAAACTTATGAATTATAAAATCTGGCGAATGCTGATCAACAATAATTAAACTGCAATAACTATTGTCGCAGCAATACTAAACTGCTGACGAAGTCGTCACCTAATTGGAACTAACTACAAAACTCTATAATTACTGTTAAGTCGGAGAATAACAGTAATCGAATCGCTCATTAAGAGAAAGTAGTTAAACACATCTGGATTGCGAAACTCAAACTAGAAGTTGCCACAAACAAACGAATTACCGTTCGTTTGTATTATTGCAAGCACAAATACAATGTAATCTATCGATTGAGTAGGGTGCACATACACAGAGAACGACAACGTTGCACCCACGCCGATCATTACCACCTTTCTGAATCCGTACATAAATGGATCCCAGTCATTATCAACTCGTATTTGTTATGAGACTATTTTGAGTGAGAACGTGCATTAAGCTCTTATGCAAACTGATTCTGTGAAACATTGCAGGACAAATGACGAAATGTTAAGCACACTTTCCAAAATTTACAATCATCCAAGTGAGTCAATTCGGAAATGGAGTCGTTGGAATAATTTAAAGCGAACTTATTGACCGTGTACGATTGGGACGAAGAATTTTACGATCCAACTTGTTAACACGCTCCAACTCAACTAAGCTATAATCTTAAAGAGAACTTTTTGAATTTGTAACAGTCTAAAACGAGTTTGGACTGTTGCTCTATTCTACTAGTGAAGTAAAAAGTAGAGGCGAATGCCCCAGGCTAAACGGTCGGGACGGGAAGTATAACAAATGGACTTGAATCGACTTCATTCTACTTAGTGGTTTAAAAAAAAAAAAAAGTAATCTGAATATAATCGTAAAGATTCCGTTACGGGCCAAAAATCATTTTTTTGTTAAAACTTACCACAATTAAAGACCACAGTGAGTAGAAGTGGAATAAAAGTGGTAACAGTCACGTGGCACAAAGTCATCCGTCTAAAATCATAAGCTGACATTTCCTTTATCTTTTTTCTCAGAGACGTTGAGAAGTCGGAATAATCAGCCCGTTCTGTCTCTTTCAATCCAGGAGTCCATGGCTGTGACAAGTAAAAGCGATGAAAGCCAATTCCGAACTGGCGTCTTCCCAGCAGCACTGCAAGGCTCGTGGCCTCCCCACTCCACCTCACTTCTGTCACATGGTCGGTCATCGACCAATCTAACGCCAGAGAAAACCTCAATAGCGACGATTCTACCCTCTGCCGTCGACTAACGAAAACATATGGAAAGGAGCCTAATTGCTTCGCTTCTTATAAATTTTCATTTTTCTTATTTATCATTCTTCATCACTTCTCTTATTTTTTTGGGATATTAATAAGAATATTCTGCAGAATTAAGGATTAATTTGACGAGACAGTAATATTTATATATATAGCCTACATAAATATAAATTGTTTAGTTACCTTTAATGTTAACGTTCGAATGGTCGCGTATGATGTATAGGGACTTTAGTAAAATAATTATTTTAACGACTATTTTTGAAAAATTGTTTATATAAAATATTTTTAACTACCGTAAAAAATATTTTATAAAGTTTAAAATTATTTATTACTTAAATTGAATTATTTTAAACGCTATAATATATTTTTATAAGCGTCATTTTTCTGCTTCGAAAAATTCATTTTTAAACTTAATTAACGAGAAAATTAAAATCGTATCTTTAATAACTACTAACGAACCCGTCTTCCTAAAC